TCGTCTTCATAGTTTTTTAGAGGCCGGAATACGGGTATAGAAACTTGCGACTTTTGTTTTTCTTTTAAAGCAACCTTACAGTCGCTTTTGCAGTAGCGGCGACGAACAACAGCTTAAGCAGCGCAGTCACTATTATTATATAGTGTAAATGCTGCTACAGCTACAGCTACTGCTACTGCTACAGCTGCTGTACAAGTCACAGTTTATAATTGCCGCAGCAGCAGCAACAGCAGCAGAAATAGCAATTAAAAATTTCAAGCAAATAATTTTCATTGAAAGATAAACGATAACGACGCATTCAAGACAACAACAGTGCCCACTTATGTTTCAGCTTAGTGCGCTCAACTTACTGCTTTACACTCACTACACTCACTATACACACTCTACACACTGTACTCACTGTACACAGAGTTTCTTATCGTTTTGATGTCAACATAAACGTTGACAGAGCTTTTGCTGCTGCTGCGTTTATAATGCCACTACATTTTCTAATGTTGCTGCTGCGCTTTTTATGCTGCATTTTTAATTTTATTGTGTCTCTTTGTGTGTGTGTGTGTGTTGGTAGCTAATTTTTCGTTCAATTTCGAGTTCATAAATTTGTTTTTGTTAATTGTGTGCACTTATTTTGCTCTGTAGCACTTTGTGTAGTAGCATTTGTTGGTTGTTGTTGTTGCTGTTTTTGTTGCAGCTGTTGATGTTGCTATTGCTCTTTATCTTGTTGCTGCCAAATTTATATACGCACATAATTGTTTATTTATGTTTGTAATTTCATTTGTTGTTTGTTTGCTGTAGTTGTGTGTTCTGCTACTGCAAAAAGCGCAAACGCTATCGCAGCAGCAATTGCTCGAACAGTTGTTGTTATTCTTTTAATTGCAATTGCAATTGCATTGTTGTTGTTTGTTGTTGTGACTGCAACTGCGGATGCTGTAATTGTTGCAAAATTAATTGCAACTATATAATAACTTATTTTTTTTTTTTAGTTTCTCTTTCATTGTCTCTTGTTGAATGCTTATCTTGCTAATAGGCGTTTATCTCTACGATTGTGTTTAACTTCAGTCTAAAAATGTTGTATTTACACTTTCGTTGACAATAAACGAGTTGCTTTCTAATCTGGTGCCAGATAATTTGTTGTCAGTGCAATGTGTCAGTAACTAAAAGATATTCCATAGTTACATATGTTTGTGGTTTCTGTAGCTAACAAAATAAGTAGTTATATGAGACAGGCACAAATCGGAGATTAATAAATTTATTACTTATTGCAAAACGTTAATTTTATTAATATTAATAGTATCACATTAATTTTATATATACACATATATATATATGTTATAAATTACTCCCTTACTAATTTATTTAAGAGGCCATAAGAACGCATTACCGAATTTCCGAGTGAAAATAACTTAGTAAGTTAGTAAATGTAACTTACTAAGTAAATTTTGTTAACTATACAAAGAGCTTCCGTGGTTTTTAACTTACTTAAAAATAGAGTAAGGAAAGTTAGTAACTAAGTAATTTACTTAAAAATAGAGTAAGGAAAGTTAGACCACAAATGTCGAATGTAACCCTTCAAAATAAATTTCCCAGAAGGGAAATAATGGAAGTTTGAAATATTTATCAATTGTTTTATGTGTAAAATGTAAACATATAACAGATGATTTGTAAGCAAACGTACTCAGAAAATAAGTATTAAATAAAATCTTTGTTTTCATTAATTGAATATGTAATAGATTAATAAAATATGTATATAAATGATTTAGGCCGTGTGCGAATTCGAGTAAATTGATGGTTAATTGAGGGAAATTATAAATTATCTCGGTATGGCAGCTAATTTTAGTATTTACTAGAATTTTGAGCAGGGTAAATTAAATAAAGATTAAGTAAATTAAATTTTACCATTGTGAAAATTTTATAAGATGTTTAATAAATAAATAAATAAATTTGAAAACTTTTAATCAAAAATAATAAATAAGTGCAATAAATACATAAATAAATATTTACATAAGTGTAGTGCAAAAAAATCATTAGAAAATTTCAATTTACTTTACCCTCATTTACTCGAACTCGCACAAGGTCTTAAATTTCAATTTCGTATTTTATTTTTTGTGTGATATAATTATTAATTTAAGTTTATTTAAGCAAACAGAAGCTCTCTTAGAATTTTCTGACACACATAAAAGCTGTTTCATATGCAATTACTTTTGCCAATGGAAACGACAAAATCTTGAACTAACTTAAGTAACTTACTAAGAAAGCATTGACTGCTTTACAGTCTTAATGCAATGGAACCGTGTAAGAAGGCACAATATTGACCCTAAATAGAAATAGGTGAGACCTTGGTTGATATTTATAGTGATTTTTCCGCTTTTCTCTAAGTATGTATGTATGTTGATGATGGGAGTATCTTCTATCTACGTGAAAATAAAATTATTATGACAGGAGTTCCTAACACCGTTTGTTTTAAGGAAATTCTTTCAACCGATGGGATAAGTGTCCTTTTTAATGAAACATTAAAAACATTAGAAATATTTTTTTATTTGTTAAAAAAAAGTTTACAAAAAAATGATGACATTTTGAACGGTTTAACGTTAAGAATATAAGGTGTAAGCTTTTGTAGGCAGTTGGCAGAGAAACAACTTCTTATTGTAAAAATAGTATATGATAACAACAACACTGTCACATGTATTTATTTTTGAACCCGCTTTGGTTATGATCAAAAGGCGTGATATACAAGCACATATATCTCATATCACTATTGCCAAATTTTTACTTACTTATTTCTCCTACTATTTTCGTACGTTTTTCCTTTCCATTAAGATTTAAAATATGATCAGATTAGAAAATTTTATGGAGGAAAATTTATAGAACATGGACTTACTTAGTTTGTATTATCACGAAAAAAAGATGTTAATACGAAATGTTTCATTAAACAAATTATAAAATAATAGTTATAAACCAAGCGCAAAAATCATAATTGAATTAAATTATAAATTAAATTAATAAATATTAATCCATTTTAAAATATTAATTAAAATGAGTATTTTTTATATCAGGAATTTGTTTAAATGTATATTTTTTATTAATTTTTATTAATTTTTATTAATAATTTGTCAAATTATTTATAAAACGGTAAATATTTCTAATTGCCAATTCTTCATATACAAAGTGAGAGTTTAATATGAATTATTGCAAAAAAAAATTTTTTTTTATAAAAATTAATTATATTAATTGGCGCACATACAATTATCAAAAAAAAAACACAATTTTTTTTATATAGAATTTGTATTAATATTTTATTTTTTATATAAAATTAATTTTTATTATTTATAGCATATACATAATTCGTACTAGCCAACTATAAAATATAATATAAATGATACTTTGTTAACATTTTGTAGAGACAATATAGACACATATGTATGTATCTTTGTATCTCTTAAATGTTATTTTTTACATTTTTTCTTTTTATTTTTAATTTTATATAATTATTTATATTTTATTTTAAGTTTGTGTTTGAAGTGCAATTTAATCTGCATTCATTTGTCTATTGTGCATGTTTAACCAACTGGCATTCGTTTAAATGCCTTTTAAATGATCACTGCTCAAGGCATACGTATGAGCCATTTTAAGTAAGGCATTTCCGAGTGGTCTTCACTTATATGAATTAAATCAAAAATTTAGAGTAGTTGTAGTTGTAGTTAGTAGTTGTAAATTAAAAATTATTTAAAAATTCAAGTTGAAATACTTTTATACATACAAAAGGAGTTTTTAATTGTATGCAGTTTTTTAATTAAGTTTAGCCTTTCTAATCGCTTTGCCAATGAACCTCAAGTGTAACAAATTTATTTGATAATAAAACTTGAGAAGCAGTTTTTCTATGTTTGCTTAATAATAATAGATAAAAACTTTAACTATTTAAAAACAAAAAAATAAATAAAGATTTGTCTGCTAAATTACATTATGATGATAATAACTTTTTATTAAGTAATGACATCATTTTGTACTGAATAATATCATAAAGTTTTAGACTTTATGAAAATTGAATATAAATTCAATTTATTAATATATAAACCAAAAAAAATGGAAACAAAATAAAATTTATAATGAAAAGAGAGTGTATATGCAATGAAATAAAGAAGAGAAAGTTGAAATGACTTTTTAATATGCAATAATATTTATTCATATTAAATATATGATTTACTAAATCGGATACTGCCTATTTCATTTTTTATCAAACCAATTAACTATTTTATTATAATCAACAAAATATCTAGTTTAAATACATTTTCTTGTGTGATAGAAGAACAGCATGAAATACCATCGTTTGAGACTTTACCCCCCAAAACCATTTCTTTGGAATAAATAGAGAAGACTGTAGACACAAGAACGTAAGGTTCGTAAATCTGAATCTTACTCAGCATTTATAGTAATTGCCTATGTCTTTAAAAAATCCGTCACAATTTTTTGTGTAGTCTACATCTTTGTAACACATCCAGAGGAAATTATATATATATGTGTATATAAAATTAATAAATATTAATTCTTCAAATGAAGAATAATTATCGAATCAAATAAAAATAAATTAACATAAAGAATTAATGTAAAATTACTGCAAATTTTCACTGAAATAGATGAACATTCCAACTCCTGCCTTAGCATTTTCCAAAATCAACAAAACCCATTTCGAGAAGTTAGATATACTGACCTCCGTTTAATAACCAATTCAATATAAGAATATTAATCTTATAGAGTAGTGATGAAACGTATTGATTGAAACCGTCTCCAATAAATCATTCATTATTTCCATTCAATCCAAATAAATGCGTAAACATGAATTTTTCTTCTTTACATAGTATAGATGAGTGGTTAAAGCTCATACAAATAAACCAAAAATATTGGACAAAACAATTATATATTTTGTGAAAGTTTTTGTAAACGGCAGTTTTTTAAACGTTAAAACAAAACAGTTTAAAAAAGATATAAATTAACAAAAATGATTTCAATAAATAAAATGTAAGTAACAAAAACAAATGTGTGGAATAAGCGTCCATAATATTATAAGCCAAGAACCAATAAATGTAACATCATAAGTAACAGTAAAGTAAGGCTAGACTAGAGACTATAAGAACTGATGATGACAGAGTTTAAAGTTTTTCTTGCGTACCCTTGCTTACATTCTAGATATGTTTATTGCAGTTCTGGTATCATCAATTGTATTCAACTGCTAATACGAATATGAATCTGGATATTCATAGCATGGGTTACACTACCATTTACTCTTCGTGTCTTTGGTGATTTTTGCAAAAACTATATAATTAAATTTTTATTAAATAAATAAAAATAGTTTAAATATAATAGTATACCCAAAATCGCCGACGGCAAATTGGACATCTCTTTCTATAACCATGTTGATTTGCATGTCTGATATACTTTATAATGCATTTTCGACAAAATGCATGACCGCATCTAATAAATTTAGGGTGAGATTTCTTATCTAAACAAAAGACGCAACGTTCATCAGCCATATCCATACCTTCTATTTATTGAGACTATTACGAGTGTTATATATTTATTTGATTTGTTAAAATCAAAATATACAATAAAAACATTTAATTTTTTTTTTTTTGTGAAGTTTAAACTGCTTTTCCTTTATAGTTTCTTTTATATGACTACTAAGTTTCTATTAGAAAAACTAATTATATAGTAGTCTAGTTGTTTTTATATATACTGTATATATATAGTAGAGTTAGTGTATCTCATTCAGTATTATAAAAAATATGTGAATCCGTTTCTTAGAAATGGCAATGTATGTTAAATAACAAGTTAGGATGTGTTGCCCTTTGTTTTATGAAAAAGCTGTAGGTGTAGAGCTATTTTATACTACCTTGTGGATAGTTAAAAACAAAGTTACCATTAGTCTAAGTTCAGATTAATATCGACAGAGAATAATGTCAACCAATTTGTTGTTAGTTCTAATAAGATGCCTGACTACTCTTAGGCCTATGCCGTTTGCACTACACTAGAAATTTTTATTCGATTTTTCAAAAATTAATGTATTTTGAAAAGTAGGTATCCCACAGAAGTACTTCGGTCCCACTAATGGTGTTAAGGCACTTTTATTTGCAAATTTGTCGCTACCTTTGTTATCCATACGTAGCTAACTCCGATGTCCAATTTTTGCAGTCTCGAACAAACGTAGATATAATGGTCTGAAGTAAACCTCCACTTTGAGAGATCTAGACTCAAAGGTTTGATTTTTTTGCAGTTCTAAACATACCTAAATTAGCATTTTTCAGCTAATGATATAACTCTTTTAGCAGAAGAATGGAGCAGTGTTATAAAGTTTAGAACTATTTGTATAATAATTTAATAGCCATATTATATAGACATTAATGGTCACATTAAAGTGTTAAATTGTTTTTGCTTACAATGTCAATTAAAAATTTAAAAAATTCTTCTTCTATAGAAGAAATAACAAAAAATGAGAATTTCTTCATTTTAATAAATCGGTTATGTTGTAGTTCTTACAAATAAGAATATATTTGATTGGGCAAAAAGTATTCGGCATTTTAAGTGTTAAAGTGTTACTGTTAAAACCTCAAACGATTTTTTTGATTTATAGAAAAATCAAAAATAATCAGATTTTGCACATTATTGGTTAGGTGGTGTATATAAACATGTATATATATATATATATTAGGTTGGGTTAAAAGTATTCGACTTTAAAAGTGGTTATTTAATGCATAGTTTTACCCTCTCGTATCTCGGTTACTATTAAAATCACATACAATTTTCTTCATTTATAGACAAAATAAAAATAATCAGTATTAGCTTATTATTGGGTAGGTGGTATATATATTGGGTCGGGCAATAAGTATTTGGTATTAAAAGTAATTATTTTATTGATAGATTTACCCTCTTGTATCTCGGTTACTATTACAACCTTATACTATATTTTTCATCTATAGAAAAAATAATAATAATTAGAATTAGTTCATTATTGGTTAGGTGGTATATATATTGGGTCGGGCAATAAGTATTCGGCATTTAAAGTGGTTATTTTATTTATAGATTTACCCTCTTGGATCTCGGTTACTCATAATTGATTAGGTAGGTATTAGGTATATATATTGAGTCGGGCATTAAGTATTCGGCATTAAAAGTGGTTATTTTATTGATAGATTTACCCTATTGTTTCGCGGTTACTATTAAAACCTCATACATAGAAATAGTATATATATAAATATATTTATTTATAATATAAATCTATTTATAAATATAAATAATCCGAAATTCGCTAGGTGTATACCACGGATGTATATATTTGGTTGGGCAAAAAGTATTCGACATTAAAAGTGGTTATTTTATTGATAGATTTTTCTTCACCAACTTATATCTCGGTAATATTGAAATCTCATATGAATTTCTTCGTTGGACTAAAGAATCAATTTGTTTTAAGGAAGCAATTGAAGTGTAGTATGTATGTAGTAGTATCTAATATAGTATATAGTATGTATTGAAAAACTTTACGTTCACACCTTTATGGTACAATGCTTTGCTGAGATTCATAAATTGCTCAGGTGTCGTACAACAATAACAGATTTTGTATTAATAATTTTAATTTATTAACTGGATTTTAAAAAATTCATTCCTAAAAACAAGAATAACAAAAGCGGAAGTCAAAAAGTTGTTAAAAGTATAAAAATTTTTTGAAATCTTAATGGCTTTTAACGACTCATCCACTTCTCGGTTTACAAACATTGCATGTTAGCAAGTTACAAAACTTTGTTGTTGTTGTTGTTGTTGTTGTTGTTATTTTTCAGTGTGTTGTTGTTGTTACTTTATACATTATTTTAGCGTTACTGTGGCATTTTATCGCGTAAAGCACAACGTCATTGTGTCACGCTTAAAAGGTACATTTTTCGCGCAATGATAAATAATAAATGCAATGGTAAATACTAAAAGCGTTTTAGCCTTGTTGACTGCATACGAGCTTCAGCTAACGAGACTCGATCTGATATCGCAATTTTGCCGCACCATGCAACTCCTTTTGAAACACCATCAAATGGTTTGTTTATGTGTTTGCACATATATATGTATGTGTGTGTGTGAGTGTGTGTGTCTGCAAACGCTTATAATATTGTAGTTAATATTTACGCCTTAATATACTGGCGCATGAAGTTTTCTTCATTTGGTCTGGTATCACTGTTGTTTATTTTTTTTATTTTCATTTTGTTGTTGTTTACATTATTTTGTGTGTTGTTGTTTACATTGTTGTATTTGTTGTTGTATTTGCTGTTGTTTGCATTGTTGTAGTTATTGTTGCTGGAGTTCGGTTGCAGAGTTGCTGTTAACTTAAAATGACCTTAAAACGCGTACACTGTTTTTGTTATTTTAATGTTATTATTTTTTTCTTAAGCCTCTTGCCAAACAAAACATGCTGTGCCGCTTTGCGATGCATTGCAATATTGCGATGTGGTGGTATATGCCATTTGGCGTGGTCTTTGCCATATGCAACTTCAGTGAACAGGTAATGCACACTTCAACACAAAAAAAGGTGGGTAAACAGTATGAGGTGAAATTAAAAAAAGGGAAAATTTAAAAAAGTGCAAAAGATGACGCAAAATAATATAAAACGCAATAACGTTATGCGGTGTAAATGCGTTAAAATTTTTTATCCACAAAAAAAAAATTATGCCGTGGTCTCATAACATAATTTACAACCGGGTCACTGGTAGAAAATTGTAAAGCAAACATGGAGGAGAAATAGGTGAACGCAGCCAGAAGCAACAAACATCATAAGCCGAAGTCACTTTAATTTCTATGTGTGAACTGGATGTGTAACTGTAGTGTGTCATTTTGCTTAAGTAGTGAAATTGAAAAATATTCTTAACATCATATAAAATTGGGACTACATATTGTTGGATAGTTTTATATTAGTATATGTTAATTTAATTTATATCACTTCTTCGATGTCACCTGTACATCCATTGCTTATGATTCCACTCTTTCGTTTACTAATTTCTTGGTCAACCTCTTAGGAGTTTACGAAAAGGATAAACTATTAAACTAATGAGTCTATTATGTTGCTATGTATTTGACAAAGTATCGAGTATGGTTTACAGTTATATAGAAAAAGTGATTGTAGCTACCATAAAAGTGGTACTTATTAGCACTAATTACATGATAGGTTTTATTAACTATATATATCAACTTAATTCATTAAAATGTTGAGATATGAGTTTGTGATATTAATATAAATTTTCAATAAACTTGCCTTTAACTGTCTTCCTTATACTACGATCGGTAAAGTGGTGAGGAACATATTTTAAAATGTGTTATTGAGAGGTGTTAGAGAATATATGAGTGAAGAGTATGAGTGAGAGTATATTTAGCATTAATGTTATTTAAGCTAATGCAAGTTTGAAATAAGACAATCCCACATCGACAAGTAAGTCTTTAAGTTCACGCGGCGGTACCTCACCGCTTTGTTTAATTCAATTGCTGAAGCTTAAATCCTTGACACACTTTCCTCTAATCTCTTGCACTCAGAAAAATATGCTATAACCACATATTAATTAAATTGACCTGATCGTTTTATTAGAGAAATTTCAACTCATGTGGTGAAAAGATATGAAAATTAACATGTTGTATGATTGAACCAACATGAAGCTTCGAGTAGGAATACTTTTACCTAACATTTAGTTGTAATCTGGTTAAATCAACCAAATTATTTTTCTGAGTATGCTCGATATGCGCTTCAAGCTGTCCTAATACTTTATGTTATAATTCGATAAGTATATATGTAATTACCCTATAGAAGTAACTCACCATCGAGTTTTTGCAATAATCCTACCCTGTGTACTTACTCCTCAACCCTTTCACTACACTAAGTCTATACCTTCTGCCTTCAACAGGTACTAAGCCTCTTGATCTCAACTCTCTCCCCTAATTACTAGAATCACATTTATTCCCAAGAGCTGATTCTAGTGGGTTTAAGTCTCATACTGTGGGTGTTGATGTTTTCCACCCATCGCATGAAAAAAAAAATGTCGTTCTAATTTTAACGCATAACTTTTATTCCTTTATACCATTCTTTAGACTTGATTATTTGCTTTCTTATAATTATGTTTTCTAACGCAGTTAAGATGAAGTAATTATTTTGAATATTATTCTGCAATTTTGAACTGCAATAGCGAAACTAAGTTTTCATATAAAATATAATTATATTTTTGCGGTAGTAGTAACTAACATAGCAGCAGGAATGAGCTCTATGGAAATATTCCTGGAAGTGATAACAGAACATAAGTACATTATGTAAGCCTTTCTCGTCCTTTACCCTTTTAGTATATTCAATTTATATTTAAGTCTATTTTTTTTTAAGTCAAATAGAAGAGTTCCAAGTTTTACTCATTGCAACAATTTTATATTAACTGCAAAGGAACTTACGGAGAGGCAAATATTGTGTGCTACTTGGCAAATATTTATGAAACGTGTTTGCCACACAAATGAAAGCAAAGAATTTTCTTTTAATGTTGTATTTTTTCTACGTGTGGATGGACTACACTCACTGTGTGGCAAGTTGGT